AGAAGGTTTATAAAAGATTTTGCAAAAATTTCAAAACTACTGACTAACTTATTAACGAAAGATGTGAAGTTTGAATTTTCAGATGATTGTAGGAAATCATTTGAAATACCCAAGGTAAAATTATCTGAAGCCCCAATAGTTGTTTCTCCTAATTGGAACCAGCCATTTGAAATCATGTGTGATGCAAGTGATACAATAGTGGGAGCTGTATTAGGACAAAAAAGAGACAAAATTTTCAGGCCTATTTACTATGCTAGTAGAACACTCAATGAAGCGCAAAAGAGTTATGCCACAACTGAGAAAGAACTACTAGCAGTAGTATTTGCATTTGATAAATTTCATTCTTATTTAATTGAAAATAAAGTTACAGTATTCACTGATCATGCCGCTCTAAAATATCTCTAAACAAAAAAGGATGATAAACCAAGGTTGCTAAGATGGATACTTCTTTTACAAGAATTTGATCTTGAAATAAATAAAGATAGAAAGGAGCAGATAATTAAGTAGCTGATCATTTTTCACGTCTGGAAAATCTTCCTACCGAGTCATCAGATATCAAGGAGGAATTTCCCGACGAACATATATACGCAATCATATCATCTATTAACCAATCACCTTGGTTTTCTGACATAGCAAATTATTTAGCTGGAGGATAAATCCCAAAAGATTTTTCTTATGAACAAAGAAAAAAATTAAAAAAGAATGCAAGACATTATTATTGGGAAGACCCTTATTTGTTTAAATTTTGTATAGATGGAATAATTAGGAGATGTGTACCAGAAATAGAAATGAACAATATCGTAAGTCACTGTCATGATGGAGCAGTGGGAGGACACTATGGAGGAAAAAGACAGCTGCAAAAGTACTCGAAGTAGGTTTTTTCTGGCCCACCCTATTCAAGGATGCAAGAAATTATGTCACATCTCGCGACAAATGCCAGAGAAGCGGTAACATTTTCAAAAGGGATGAAATGCCTCTTAACTCTATCTTGGTATGTGAAATATTTGATATTTGGGGTATCAATTTTATGGGACCATTTCCTCCATCAAATGATTGTGAATACATTTTAGTAGTTGTAGACTATGTGTCAAGGTGGGTAGAAGAAATAGCTACTAAGAAAAATGATGCTCGTATTATTTTATATTTCCTCAAGAAAATATTTTTCTAGATTGAAACCTCACGAGTTATTATAAGTGATCAAGGAACACATTTTATAAACAAACAATTCGCTAATGTACTATCAAGATATGGAGTAACACACACGAAAGGAACTCCATATCATGCCCAAACAAACGTGCAAGTAAAAGTGTCAAACAAAGAATTAAAAAGAATTTTAGAAAAAATTGTTGGATCTTCTCGAAAACATTGATCTCTAAAATTAGATGATACTTTATGGGAATATAGAACGCTTTCAAAACACCAATGGCACATCTCCTTATAGATTGGTCTTTGGAAAAGCCTGTCACTTACTTGTAGAATTGGAACATAAAGCTTATTGGGCAATAAAAATGTTTAATCTAGATTTGTCAGTTGCAGGAAAAAAATCAATTGTTGCAACTTGATGAATTAGAGGAATTTAGACTTGAAGCATATGAAATTGTACAAAGAAAAAATAAAAAGATGACACGATAATCTCATTTTCCATAAGAAATTTAAATTGGGAGATCATGTTCTATTATACAATAGTCGATTAAGACTATTTCCTGGAAAATTCAAATCACGATGGACATGATTGTATGTCGTCACAGAAGTAACCCCATATGGTGCCATCGAAATACAAAATATAAGTGAGAAAGAAAAATTCAAGGTAAATGGCCATCGTTTGAAGCCCTATGTCACAAAGATTTTTGACAAACAAGCTTCAACGATTCTCTTTACTTAAAAGCTACAAATACAAATATATATATATATATATATAAAAACTAAAAAATAATAATTTATTATTATATTTTTAAAAAATTATACTAATCATCTTATAGTGAGTATTTATGTGCATCATATGTATAAATATATAATAAAACATCTTTGATTCTATTTTATTATAGTGTTGCTATTATTATTATTAATAATAATATTA